CACTATCAAGATCATATTACCTTCACGTATATATTCTTTTTGCATTTTTACGGCACTTTTAGTTTCCACATTTACATTTCTTATCCATCAGGAATTACTTTTTCTTCAGGTTTTATTAAATGGCTGGCTGTCACAAAATCATTTACCAACAAAATCCATCATGTTTCAACTGTCTAAAATTCCACCTTTATCTTAGGCTATATATAATAACTGAGTCTGTTTCTAGACTTTGCTCTTGCAAAAAACAAAAACAAAAACAAAACACTGGCGACACAGATAGCCTGTGAAGGAAACTGGATAGCTGGAGATGGGCAGTAAAAGACTATCTTCATTGTTTACCCTTGTGAATTTTATTCCATGTGCTTTGAATTACCACTCAAAAACATCAATAAAATTTTTTTTAAGGTCTGCTTAATATACCTGGTGGAATTATCAAATATTTCAGCTTTCTGCAAATTACACCACAAGCCCTGTATGCACCTGAACAATGCTTGAAATCATGGATCTACCTCAATTTCAAAACAGGGAACTATGATTTAATCTATTCTATTTTAAATGAATAGCAAAAGTTCCCCAAATATGACTTTCTCTGCCATATTTGTGTTTGTGTATACGTGTTTCTCTGCCATTTAACACGGTCAAACAAATGACCTGAAGGGGAAAAAAAGTTCTGTATAAATCCTTAATTATCGTAAGTAAAGCTACTACTTCAAATGTATAAAAACTTCAGATATTGTCAATTCCTTACTATGAGTGTTCCCTAGATCCAGCCATCACAGACATATTTTGCTTTCATCTTCTTCAGAATCTAATCTTTCCATTCTCCTGCAATCTGATTATTGTATTTTGAATATTACTTTTCTTTACAATTTTATTTCAATGTCGGATGGCAAATTTGACCTCTGTAGTCACCATAAATAGTATGGTATGGCGAACTGGCTAAAATAAAAAGAAATACTTATCTAGCAGGAGATGGAAAAAGAACAGGTTCACCTTTTAAGTCATTCTCTTTAGGATCCTCTCCCTCACACTAATTTCTAAATAACTATTACAGTAGACTCATTTAATTTTAGCCTGCCTCCAAATAAAAAATATTTTCAAGCACTTGAAAATACTCCTCCAGTACGAAGGGGAAAGCGCCCTAGTATTTAGTACCACTGGCATACTCATTAATAATTACAAATTAGATACTATCTCTGTACCATGTAATTCTGCTCTCAGTACCTGCTCCCCTAGGTACTTTCCTACTCTTTTTTTTTCTAATAAATGAACTTTAACATGTACAAGATGCACAATCTACATATCTAAGTGAAGATGTAGAATACTAAGTGAAGATGTAGAAGAAAAAGCAATTCTTTCAAGAGTCTCTAATTAGTTTTAAGTTTTAAAACTCCTTGCATTTGATAACATTATCAACCCTATTTAAAAGGAAACAGACTGACTTGACAAACATCACATTATCGAGAGCAGAAATAGGTCTGATAGAAGGTCCTTTGCCCTAAATATGCTGCTTCCCACCATGTTAAATTCAATACCCACAGAAAAGTGTCTTCACATAATACAATGAAGGAAGCACTCCACAGCACAACAAATGAATATTAGTGATATGTTAAAAAAAAAGAAAAATATTTAGTAGAAATAATTTTTCTATTTTCTCTACAAGTGATCTCAAATACGTCAAATGAGACAACACTTTAAAAGCTTCTAGGCCACAGGTAATATATTTCCTTTGCTCCCAAGTCTCTAGGGCCTTGCCTCACATCATGAAGGACTTTTCAATGGCCACCTACTAGGAAGATCTCTACCATCCAAGATCCCGCCCAACACAGAGATTAGAAACACCTACTCCTAAAATCTGGGAACTTTCTATAAGAGACTCCTCATCAGATGAATTTAGCCTAACAATTCTCAACCTTATCAAATTCAATGTTTCCCCTCCATAAAATATTTTCCAACTTCTGCATTATCACCCTGAAATGAAATTAGTAACAATCTTCCTTACAAACAACTTCAAACAAAGCCATATACCCTAAATATAAATGTAAAAGGAAAATGAAAATAATTTATAAGTATTTCAATGTTAATCCTGAAACAAAACTGAACTAGAAGACATATAAAAGTAATTAGTACATGAATATGACAGCAAAATGGTTTGTAATGCAATTTTCCAAAACTGAAAACAACTCTTGGTCAAGTTGTGAACAAAACAAATCTTCCTTTCACACATTTGCATGTGGAAATAGACGCTGTAAAGTTCAGTCTCAGTTAAAACCATTAGCTTATATGTAAAATGGAGTTTCTAGATTCCAATAATTATGAATGTTACACAAATGTCAGGCAGGATATTCCTAACCATATAGGACACAGGAACATTCTTTGTTCGGGATAGCCCCCACATTGCAAAAAAGTATAACATCCCTAGTCCCCACCATTAAATGCTACTGATTAGCCCCAATCACCACCAAGCAAAAAAATTTGCCTCCCAACTTCCTCCAAGAGGGCACTCCCCATCTGGACCCACTTCCTTAGTCACAATTCGACTACCACAGTATAATGTCAAGAACGCTCAGGAAGCATGGACTAGTTCCAGTTGTGTCACCTATGAGCTATATGGTCATTGGCAGTGAGCGCTCAAAACCTCAGTTTCCAGTATATCAAATGGGGATAAACACTACCTACGCTTTTTGGGTTGTAAAGGTTGATTCAACAACATGTGCTTAGCACAGAGCAGGTGGTTTCCAGCACATGGCATATTGAAATGTATAAAGAAGGAGGCTGTTCCAGATTGAGAACAACAAAAAGTGATATGAATATGGAAGAGTCTGAAGACAAAATAAGCATACAAAATGAAATTTAACACACAGGAGCCTAGGGACATTTTATAGAGCAGCCAACAGTCCTAATATCTCTGCAACCCCTGAAGGCATATATTACAGTGAATGCAGTAAAATAATATTCAGAATGATGATCCCCATATTAAGAACACAAGAAACACATCTTTAAGAGACTTCTACAGTACATGGCTAAAATTTCATAAAGCTCCAATACTTAACAGAGTGTCTGTACTAACAAACTTTTCAAACTTTCCTTGGGCAATTATCCTATTCTAACGACTTGGAAAACACAAAGATATCTAATATACGGTATCTGTCCTCAAACATTTTACCATCCAGTAAATTAGACATCAGTAAAACATAGCCATAATATAAAGCAGAATGAAATAGACACTAAATAGAAATTCAACTAAATTATGGGAGCCTAGGAAAAATTACGAATAATTTTCACTGGGGAAAATCAAGAACATCCTCATGCCATAGTACTCTGAAAAACAAAGATTCTGATAGGTAGAGAATGGAGAGTAAATCATTAAAGAAAAAAATGGAAGTGTGGGCAAAAGTGCTGGGCATGTGGATAGATACAACTTGTTTCAGAGAAGAGAGCTAGGGAAAGGGTAGGGGTCCAAAAGGGTTGGGAAGGCAATAAAAACTCAGGCTGTAACAACATCTCAGGACCTATTCATGGATGGATTTAAATGTTATTCATAAGAGTTTGAATTTTATTGGGCAAGAGAGTTTTCCAGAAAACTGGTGCTTATGTGACACACCTGATCCCCAAAGAATGCTGACTAGCCAAAAATAAAAGATTCCAAACAATTACAAATTTTCATTAACGAGATCCCTGAAACTAAAACATATATTCTTAATATCAGTAAATAACAAAAAGAACCTAACTTCTGAGCTCAATTCTTAAGTAATAAAAATATTACTAAATTTATTGAACCTGGGAACTTAAAAGAACTCAGGATAATCTTATATACGCCCTCAATCTTCTTCCAAGCAAGTTGGAGAACTTCCTAAACATGTTATTTAGCAGTGCTTCATGTCACTCTGGAAGGCAAGAGGTAAGCTACAGTATTATTAGTCCCTTTTTACTATGGGGAAACTGAGGAACAAAAAGAATAAATTACATGGTCACAAAATAAGCTAATTTCTAGGACTTTAATTAAAGGCTTAAAGCCGACATTTCGTCCTTTATTTTTTGCACGATCTGAATATTAGAACTACCTTTTACTGTCCTCTGAACTGGGGGAAAAAAAAAAAGACTAAATTTGAAATCAGTTTCTCAATTTGGTACTGCCACCAAAAAACTGTTTTTAAATCCTATCTCCTGAAATTATGCTATCAGCAAGAACTGCATGGAGTAAGCAGTAACCCAACCTCCCCCAAAAAAGGAAACTGTAAATAGCAGAGCGGGTCAGGAATCCCAGGCCCAGTTTTTACTTTGAATATTTGGCAGGCTCAGATGTGTTCGTAAAACAGGCTCTGCAGATGTCGTGATTGCAAAGGTGCTGTGAAAGGCCCAGAACAGTGATATGAATACACCCACTGCTGCGAACATGAAAACCAAAGCCACCCTCCTCTGCCCCCCCCCGCACTGCACCACACACCACGAGACTCCTAATATATACCGAGGCCTGTGCGAGAATCCTCCCGACGTTTCCCTTAAAATGCCGTACTTTGAGAATGCCCAGGACGCTGGGCCTCCGTGAACGGTGGAGACACCGGATATGGCTACACACATCTCCAAATCTTGCCTCCCCAGATTCTAGGGCCTGATCCAGAGGAGTATATCGGCCACAAGAGTTCCTGCTATTTTTTCACACACACAATCACAACCCCTACCCACAAGTCCCCTGCCTCAGCCTCCCGCCATCCCCTCTTCCCTTCCACGCCAGGTGGGCGTCCCAGGGATGTAAAGAAAAGGAACGTGTAGGTTCGAGCGCAGGGGTCGGGGGCCACGAGGCTTTCCGGCGCCGGCCGGGGTCCAGACCGCCCAGCCTCCGGAGCACGGCCGCCCAGACCCGGCCTCGGCCGACGCGCCCCGCCGCCGCCACCGCCTATCAGCGGAGTGCAGGGGCGGGGCCGGCTGGCTCGGCGGCGGCTCGGCCGCGGGCGGGGACGGGCGGGGGACCGACCGCCGCGCAGCTCGGGCCGCAGCGCGCATACACCCGGTCCGGCTCCCGAGGGCGCCAGCGCGGCCCCTGGGAGCGCGAGGAGCCGGCGAGCACGCGGCCTGCCGTTGGCGGCCTGGTCCGCCACGCTCGGCGCCCACCCGCCCCCGAGGTGGGGTCCAAGCCCCCGGGAAGATGGTGTCCTGGATGATCTCCAGAGCCGTGGTGTAAGTGCAGCTCACGGCGCCCCACCGCCCGCGCAAGTCCCGGGGAAGGCGTAGGGAGGGGCAGGGGCTAAGAGAGGGGAAGGCCCAGGCCTGGGCAGAGGTGGGCTGGGATGGGCTGGCCCGGCCTCGGGCCTGCCCGGGGGCTGGGGGCCCTCGGCCTCCTCACCCTGGTCCACGTCGCTGCGGGGCTCCCTGCGGCGGACGAAGGCCCGGCGGCGGCGGTTGCGGCGCAGCCGGGCTGCGTGCGGCGCGGCGGCCCTGCTCCGGAGGCGCTGGGCTGGCGGGCGCGCAAGGCAGGCGGCGCGCGCTCCCCGCTCCCACTCCCCGCGCTGCGCGGCACCGCCCTGTGGGCCCGGGAGCGGCGCGCCTCGCGGCGGCGCCCTGCGCAGGCTCCGCAGATGCTGAGCGCGGGAGGCCCCGCGATCCTCCAAAGGATGCGGCGGCGGCGGCGGCGGCAGCGGCAGCGGCAGCGTTGAGCCTTTGTATCCCGCGGTTGGTGCGGTGCGGTGTCTCTCTAGGCGGCCGAATGCCATTCGGTCACGTGTGGTAGGAGGAGAGATTTGTCTAAAAACCTGAGACCGCTCCTAGCTCAGATCCCTGGGAGAGGTCCCAGTTGCCCCAAGATTTACAGTTTACCTAGAAAGACGCTCCTGTGGAATGGTGACACCCGCTTGTTCGCCCAGATCGCAGAATTTGGCCCTATCTTGTCTGAAATGTTTGTTGAGTGATTGAGAGGCTGCAGGTGCCTGTTGGCCTTTATTCAAATTATCGGTTAATTTCATTGTGCTCTTATCAACAAGTGCTACAGGTCCATAAGGAAAAAAAAAACACCGCAACTCCACTAAAAGTATTTGACTACAATTTAAACTGATTTTCTCCCATCCTCCTCACCTTACCCCCAGCTCTTCAAAAAAAAAAAAAATTTACAAAGTAAACAATGACGTGGGTACAGCCAGGGGCACGTCGATTCATTATTCATGATCTCTGTAGGAGTAGTATTACCTCAGTACCTTTATGAAATGTTTTTGTGAGGCAGCAGGTTTCTCCGATTAGCTTTAGAATGTGGAAAAAACAACATTACCAGAATTTCAAATTTTGTTTTTCACTGGGAAGAAGGAGCTAAATTTCCTGCGAGTTTTGTTTTTTTTGTTTGTTTGAGAGTGAATCAGTCACTTAATACCTCTGTTCAACCTGATTGGCTATTCAGCCTGATTTGCAATAGCCCTCTAAATTTATATTTGATTGTTTTAATGAAGTTTGTCCTACCCCCCTACAGTTTCTAGATTTAAAGCTTCAGAGCTTCCTGCGTTCATCCGGACAGAACTAAAAGTCAGGAAATAAAAGCATACTATAGATGTCTTCAGATTTTTTTTTTTAGCCTTTTTAAGTCTTTGAGTATCATTTACATAATACAGGCATACCTTTCTTGACCTAGTAGATGTATATCAAGTGTTGTGTCTGCACCTAGAAAATGAAGTGCCCCATTAAGTAGCTGTACTATTTTTTTTTTTTAGCTCTGGCTTCCTTTGACCAATTTTCTTTTTTTAACAGAAAATTGTGAAGTACTTTGATGTAGTTTGCATGACTCAACTCAAATTGTTTTTGATCGTTGACTGTAAATATGAAAGTCTTTTCTAGGTGCTACCTATAACACAAAAGTTAGTAACACAGTGTTGATGTTAATGGAACAGTTCAGATACACTGATACCTACAATACAGGTGACAATGTCAAGTCTTGTAAATAGGGGTTAGATAAGGAGGGAATTATATCTGGTTGGAGAATCAGAAGAAACAAGGGAGATTACATTTGAGATGGACCTTAAAGGACCTTCTGAATTTAGACGGCCAAAGATGAAAGAGGAAAGGATTCCAGATAAAGGGATCATTGTGAGCCAAAGCACAGAGGAGGGAAAGCGCAGATTAGTTACAGGGAACTTGAGAACTGGAGAGAGAGAGCCGGAAAGGTAGAGTAGGGCTGTTTTCAAGGAATTTAAGGAAAAAGTGATAAATTTTGTTAGGTAGTGGTGGCTTTGCTTTTGGAAGATTCTCTCCCTTGCTGAGTGAGATGGTTGTAAATCAAGAAACACTGAAGACAGGGAGCCCACTTAGGGGGCTTCCTGTCTGGAGAGAGGAGATTAAATCCTGCAGTGCTAGAATCTATGGAATTTGAAGTGTGAGGCAATAGAAAAGAAACAAAAACGTGAGGGAGAAAAAAGGTCATGGAATTGTATTTCATGAGCCATTGAACCATTAGGATACTAGAAAGCACAATTGTCAAGAATATTAGCATCATTATATTTTGCCCCTATGCTCCTCAGTTTCTCAGTCTCTAAGCACTAAATGTTTTCTACTCCCTTGATTGTACCAAAGGGACACAAAAGCCCAATCCCAGGATCAACACACACTTGGAAACTTTTTGTCACGCCAGGAGATAGAATTTATTTACATTCTTTTTAACCCACTGGTACAGCCAGCTAGTCCTGAGCCTGAAAAAAGATCAGACAGTTCTCTCAATGTGAACCTTTGGTGGCATGGGCAGAGAACACAAGGAACTTCCATAACCAGAGCTCCCTGTGTGCAGGAGCACTTTCTCCCCAGACCTTATGGTAAATATTGGAGGAGGAACACTGGCTTTGGAATCAGATCTGGATGCCAGTTAATAGCTGCATGCTGCTGGGCAATGTGCTACACTCATCTGAGCTTCACCATCTTTTTTTTTCTTTAAGAATTTATTTATTTATTTGACAGACAGACAGCGAGAGAGGGAACACAAGCAGGGGGGGAGTGGGAGAGGGAGAAGCAGGCTTCCCGCCGAGCAGGGAGCCCGATGTGCCTGGATCCCAGGACCCTGGGACCATGACCTGAGCCAAAGGCAGACGCTTAACTACTGAGCCACCCAGGCGCCCCTCACCGTCTTCTTCTTAATGTGGTTATAATATTAAACCACTATTAAAACTATTGTAGAGATTAGTTTAACTAAAACACACCAGATGTGCTGCCAGGCATTTATTCTGCACTTAAAACATAATGGATATAGATTTTTTTTATGGGGGAGGGGAATAAGATAGTATAGAAAGAAATACCATTGGGAAATACCATATCATCAAGAAACCTGGAATTTAGAACTAGCATTAGTTATATTAACCACCTGAATGACCTTGAGTTAACCCCTCACTGATTAGAGACCTCAGTTTCTTTCTCTGTAGAGGTAAAGGGATCTGGTAATCTAAACTTTCCTGTACAGCTCTAGCATTCTGTAATGGTATGAAATGGTTTTATTTTGTTTTGTTTTTCCATTCTGTTTAAAGTCATTTTTAACTTAGCAGGCAAGATTGAAAAGTTAGTTAGCAATTATTAAGGGATAGTAGTCTGAGATTACCACGTGATATTTCATTTGTGATTACCTATACCTTACCTTTTGAAACATGACTCTTAACAGGATGAGAGAAATCCCACTTTTCTAACTTTTCTTAATTTGGGTATATATCATGTGGTTAAGATCAGGATAAAAGACTGCCTGAATTCATATATCAGCTCTGCCATTTATTGACTATAACCTACCCATAGGATTAAAGGTGTCCATATACAAAATGTTTATAGTCCAGCATTGGACACATGGTAAGTATTCAGTAAGTATTAGTACTTGTTATCAGAGCAAGGAAGAACATATTCCCCTACAGTACCAGCATACTGAATGTTTATTTATTTATTTTTTTTATAATTTGGCAGTTTCTTTTTTTTTTTTTAAGATTTTATTTATTTATTTGAGAAGGAGAGAATGAGAGACAGAGAGCACAAGAGGGAAGAGGGTCAGAGGGAGAAGCAGACTCCCTGCCGAGCAGGGAGCCCAATGCGGGACTCGATCCCGGGACTCCAGGATCAAGACCTGAGCCGAAGGCAGTCGCTTAACCAACTGAGCCACCCAGGCGCCCGCATACTGAATGTTTAAACTGTTTTCAATTTACATTTTTCTTTGTCTCGTTGTAGGTGACATAGTTGTAACTAGAGTATAGTGAGAAAAAAAAAGTGTTATATTATTCTCACTATATTGTAAGCATCTTCTGTGTTCTCTGAAATTATATTTTATCTCTTCTGTAATCAGCACAAAATTCATAATTTTCATAGCCATTCATTGTTTTAATTTTGCTTTTAGATCATTCTTAATATTTTGTTATCATAACTAATGTTAATATAATTATAATGCTATAGTGAACATCATTTATATATACTTTTTTCTTTAAGTATTTTCTTAGGCTGAATATCCAAGGGGAGTGTTTGAGTCAGAGACTATGAATATTTTTCTGACTATTGATATGAATTGCCAAATTGCTATCGAAAGGATGTTAATATTTTACATTGCCACCAACAATGTATGATTACTGTCTGTCTCACAGTGTAGCCAGATTTGGGTGTTTTATATTTAGTAACAGATCTCATTGTTTTCTTTTGCATTTTACTATTAGCAAGATTTAATATTTGTCCTGATATTTATTGTATCTCCTGTTGTACAAATAGTCTGTATGTACTTTACCCATTTATCTCTTGGTTACTTGATAATTTACTTGTTTGTCTGAGCTCCTTACTTAATTAACCTTAAGTCTTATTTGATTTAAATATTTCTCAATCTACACTTTTCTTTAGATACTATTTTTTAGTTGTAAAGAGAATTTATAGTTTACAGTTCAACTTTTTTTTTACGTTGTGATCTCTTTTTCACTTCTAAATATAGAATACTAATTACTCTAGATATTTGATAAGTACTACTTTCTCATATAGAATTGGATTAATTTGGAGACTGCCTTTTTAATTCCATATGTCTGTATTTCCCTTTTTACATTAATAACACATATTTGTTTTGCCATAATTTTATTATCTGGCAGAAGTAAATTGATCCTGTTCAATTATATTTAATGGGTATCTTTAAAGTCTAAATTACATACCTTAAAAACCATGCTCCAGCAATTTTCCCCCTTCTTTCCAGCATGTTTTCCCTCTCTCCT